AACACCAATTAGTACTGTTGTTAAGTTAGTACTGTGCATGGGCTCCTTGAATTGGATCAGGGGGATTTCATAGGGATATGTAAGACCAATTGAATGAACAAAGTTTGTTTAGCATCATCACTTTTTTTAGCTTGATTTGAATGTTAAGAGAATAATATTGAAATTTATAATTAATTTGGGGTGTATCTTGTACCGATTATTCCAAGAAGAAGAAGTGTGCAAGAACACTTTTTATTCACAAGTTGCAATGCATCAATTTCATACATACTGAGATATTTTTCTACCGACCATCGAAGAGGTAAGTACTAAAACAAGGACCGACCTAAAACCACCTAAAACCACCTAAAACCACCTAAAACCAGCTACAACCACCTACAACCATCTACAACCACCTCAAAAATTTCAACAACCACCTATAACCACCTCAAAAACATCTACAACCACTTGCAAACTATCTAAAACAAGGCATAAATGTCTAAAATAAGGCGAAACGACATGTCACGTACACGAAATACGAGAATCGAACGAAACCTCTACCTCCCCCTGAAATCTTACTCTCCCTGGTCCCATGTATAATCAACCATCTCACGAAATGAAATGCGATAGCATGCTAATTATTTTATATTCCCTCAGCAAAAGACTTAAAGAACTTTACAAAATGAACTAACATGTTACAAAAAATAATACATTGGGAATCATACATAGGCGCGCGTATATATGGAAGTTTTTGTAATCATGATTCAAAGCATTTTCCATCTTAAGAGTCAGCGCCAACGCACTCTACGATTGTTATTCGAGGATTGTCGATTCATTTATTTGCATTCATTAATGAGGTCGGATTTTCTTTCCAGAAAAGGGCTATTGTGTTTATATGATAAACAAAATAATACATGGTTGCTTGTAGATATGGAATTTCTCTTCTCGTGTTCAACTCGACATCCCACTCGTTCACTGCGCTCACTCGTGAGCTATCGAGTTAAACACTCGAAGATTAATTCCATATCTACGCGCGCCTATGTATTATTCCCTATTTATTATTTTTTTAGACATTTATGCCTTGTTTTAGATGGTTTTAGATAGTTTGCAAGTGGTTGTAGATGTTTTTGAGGTGGTTATAGGTGGTTGTTGAAATTTTTGAGGTGGTTGTAGATGGTTGTAGGTGGTTGTAGCTGGTTTTAGGTCGTTTCTTGTTTTAGTACTTACCCCATCGAAGATTGCAAGCGAGCGACTGTAACATGGTTCATCCAATCAGAGACATAATCAATAAGACTTCACAGTGTAGAATCTCAGCATGTATGAAATAAGAGTCCATGATAAGCTCTCCTGTGTGAATGATTGTGACCCAACCAGTATTGACTCCACTTTACTCTTTTAGTCAATAGATTGGAAGCCTGCTGACTGACATAAAACATGATGTTCTATAGTCAGTGATTCAATAATTTTTAGCCAGAGGAAATTCCTTGAGCTGCTCATGGAAGTCCTACTTATATGTTTGACTTTTGAAAAGATACAACTAATGTGCCACGAGAGAGACTGAATAGTACAATGTAGAATTCCAAAGTATTAAAGATTAGGACATATCAACCTTAAATCTTAAAAATTTATTTCCATGTTCTTAAATTTTCTTGTTGTCCTAGATCTAGACAAACTTATTGGTCTGGATAATGAAGCCCAAAATCTGGTAAACTACTTACAAGTTCTTGAAGTATTGACACCCACAATGTATGTGGAACTCTTATCTAAGGTAACATTGATCACTGTTAGCAAGTTTCCTCATTTTGGTTTTCTTAGTTAGCCTGCTTCTAGTGCCATTTGAAAAGGAGGTCCTCCTCAAAAGCTGTTGTGCTCTTTCCTTTTCTAGATTTACCTTCATGAAATAAAGTACCTGTTCAAACCATGTATCACCACAGAAGCGGGATAGGTGGTAAAATCAAAGTGACAGAAAACTTGAAATTCAACGAAGATTTACATTTAAAAGGCTCAGGGTACATGCATGTATGACAGATAGTTTAATTTTTTTCCTTTTTGCCAGTAACAAACTTTACTTGGTAGAAAGTCTAAATCTGCTCAACAGAAGCAATCAATAGATATATAGACATGCCAGTTTTCAAAGATTGCAAGACCAATTTGGATATTTAGTTTTTAAGACCAATTTGGATATTTAGTTGTAACCTTAATTTTTGCCTTTTAGATTTTAGATTTGCGCCTCAATATACTACTGTGCCTTCAGCACCCTTACAGTGCAGTGCGACACTTGGCAGCTAGGTGCCTGGGTGTCCTGTGTACTTTGTCCATTGGAGATACCATGAAGACAGTGGTAAAAGATATCGTATCACTGATGGGCACTACTAATGTCATCAGGAATGGACAAGGAGCAATAGAAGCTATATCTTGTATCCTTAAAAAGCTGATTACAATTGTTATGCTTGAGAGATATTGTGGTACACCAAAATTAATGCAGAAATGGCGTTTCCGTCTAAATTTAGTGTATATTGCCTGTGTACAGATGTGGTATGAATTATTCAACTGAAAAAAAGTCTCAGGTCGTGTCACAATAAAATTTACCAGGTCCCCCCCCCTCCTTGGTTCTTCAGTATTCTTATTACCCCCCTCCCTTTATTAACAGTTAGTTTTCCATAGTCCCCCCCTAAAGACTCTGTTAGCGACAACTGATTTCCCCCCCCCCTTCTCAATCCCCCCTGAAAACCATGTGATCTCTCCCAGAATCCTCCCCCTCCCCCCCAGTGACAAATAGTGACTGGTCCATTGCTTCTTGCCATTTTGGAGTAGATCTTATTTTCGCTGTGTTTTCAATGTACACACGTTTTTTGGTATCCTTAACTAATTGATCGGCTCGGAATGGGTGCGGTGCCGCACGTTGTTCTCCTGGTGGTGCCTGTGCTTGGACGGATGAGTTATCAGTGTGAGGATTTTCGAATTATGGCCACATACTTTTTTGCCACACTTATTAGGCTTCTGCCTCTTGAGGGTAGTTTAGGTTAATTCGAAGTAGTCTTAAGTCTTTTACTACGACAGTAACTGAGCGCATTACCATGCTACATTTTACCCAGCTTGCCGTTGTGTGCCTTGTCTTTTATTTTGTTGGAATATACCCTGGCTATCTAAGCAAGAGTTTTGACGGAAATGTCATTAATTAAAGCAATGGTTTGATGGTCCGTGCACCTCATCTTCGTTGTAATGTTCTTAGTTGGACGACACCTCTAATGGGAACGGCGGAAAAAAAAACAAAGAGGACATATGTCTAACAGCTTGAGATTTGTATGTAATTCATACTGAAGTGTTCGTAATTTTATTTCGACGGAGCTAGGATAGAAAAACATGCAGTCCTAAACTGGAACCATATGACCATTTTATCGGTTCCTTAACTCTATATTCATTTTCGCCAATATTCGACTGTTGTTTTCTGTAGTCTGGTATTCCTGACCCGCCCCGCATGTACAAAGCTATGGTGGAGCAAAAACAGAAGGGACGAAAATTTCTGGAGCAACTTTTGGACGGTAAAAAGGTGGAGAATTACACTATTCCTGTTCCTATCAAAGCTGAGCTGAGAAAATATCAACAGGTAGGGTGCTCAAAGAAAACAGCGAAAACGAAGCCTTTATTCATGTTGGAATTATAAACTAATGGCCTCTGTTTAAAATGATGTACTGAACGGTGTGCGACGAGGGTAGCTTGTCTCCTATCGAAGGTAGCACACAGTCTGCCGAAAGCTCACTATCACTTACAGATTTGTAGGGTGAGGGAACAGTTGGCATAAAGTGCAATTTAAACTGCAGCATTTAGAAAACGGAACTATTTGATTTCATGAAAGCCGAGATAAAATTCGACCATTGAAAACAATTTTTTTGCCTTCTTTTCTCTTCGCAGACTACGTAACAAGGTCAAAAATCACAGTTTAGTCGTGGCATCGTACGATAGTGAATTCTTCAGGTAAGGAGAGTTACTGAAGGGTAATTGAAAATACACATTGCTAAGGCACAGCAGTTATCTCAACGAAATGTCTCGTTTGTTTCGTCCGAACAGATCAGTGCACTGGAACTATTGTGTCCTTGAGAGGGCCACATTATAAAGAATGGAAAAACAAAGGTAGGTTACGTTTTGGTCTTTCCTCGAGAAAGCAAAGGTTGAGGAGACCGATGATAATTCCCTGACAGAAAAAAACCGGTGGAGACGAAGATATCGTATATTTGGTATTCTCCATGTGTTATCTCTCTGACAGGATTTAAACAGGTTCTCCTTTTTATCATTGAAGTTTCACTGATGGTTGTTGCTTGAGATTGATTTCGAATCGTCTGAAATGGAACAGTAGCTATGTAGTCCAGTATTCAAATTAAAGGCGGTCGGTAAGAAGTTCCTACGAGTATCGGCCCCTTTAAGTAGTTAGGACAGAATCGTAAACAAGCTCTTTGTACTGCATCGTCATTGATGTCGACACTACATAGTGGGCGGCTTAAGCTCCAGGTTTTTTCAATTTGATTTTTTTCTTTCCTCCCAGTTTCCTAAAGTCATTAAGCAGCTACGAGCCATTCATCGACTTATACTCTCGGGAACACCAATCCAGGTACGAATTGAGGGGCTTTTATTAAGCAAATGAAGCTATGCGATTTAAATATGGGAAGATGACGAGTCACTGTTCCCACAGCTATTCCACATGTAGATCTTAAAATCTTCTTCACTTACTTACGAAGAGGAGGATAAATATTTTCTTCTGCCTTGTATAATGTGAGGAAATGTCAAAAGCAGCTTCTGTCGAACAGCAAAACGTTGTTCATGTTCCTGAAGTATTCTACGTCACAAGATTAAATATTGAGACAATTGAGACTTGCTCGTTCTAATGTGTCGTTCATTTTTGTTTCATTCTCACCATACTCCTTTGTCATGAGTTATCTTTCCGTACGGTAGCGTAATTTTGTAGTTTTTGCATTGCTTTATTTCTTTTAGTCTTGCAAAGATTTGATACAGTGCTTTACGTTCATGACATGCTCAAGTTTTATTTTCAGAGTAATGTCCTGGAGCTGTGGTCATTGTTTGATTTCTTAATGCCTGGTTTTCTCGGAAGTGAAAAGCAGTTTCAGTCTCGGTTTGGTAAACCCATTCTACAGAGTAGACTAAGTAGTTAACACACAACCTGCGTAGCTTTTGGTCCTTGATCAAAAACAAGGCAGTCTAAACAGTAAAACGAACGTCAGAGCTCCAATCCTCTTTCCGTCACTCAAGAGTTCCACAGAGCCGCTAGATATACGTGTTAGTCACCTCAGCACCCTGACATCTGGCTTAGCGTTTGTTGAACAAAAAGGACAATAGATGTTGTGCTTCACCAGCCTCTGCAAGACGCTCCCGTTTTTCGGCTATCATAGGTTTAATACTTCGTGTATTTGACTGAAATGTTAGATGGTTTTACCCTGAATTTCCCGCCGGTCTCACCCTTTTCATTCCAAAGACCACGCCCTAAAGAAAGTGAGTTGTCCCTCCTCGGCGATGATTTTGATGAAAAGACTGTTTGCCTGTCAGTAAGATTTCATGGCGTTGTGGGTCATAAATGAGATGATACCGTGGTCTGTATTGACACATGTGTCCCTTTCTTAGGGCCCTTGGCTATGGAGGCTCTTCATCGTCAGGTTTTACCATTCCTATTGAGGCGTCTGAAAGAAGATGTACTGCAAGATCTTCCACCAAAGATCATTCAAGATTACTACTGTGAACTGAGTCCGCTACAGGTCAGTCTGTTGCTATGGCCAACAATCAAAGTGCGCCACTGGGTCGATGTATAATAGTTTTCGACAATATTTGATAGTTGTGGACAGGAGATGAATATTCAAGCAGCTGTGCGTAAATTTCAAGGATTTTTGTATTTAGTGGTATTTTTTATTTCTATTTGGATTTGAAATGACGGGCCTCGTTGGCGATAATCATCTCATATCCAACAAGGGCGAGTAGATTGACCCTTTTATCAAATATGCCCCAAACTATAAATAAATCTTCCTAGCTTTATTTTGTAAGAAAAACGGAATGTTACAATGCATAAAAATACTTCCGATTTAACTCGTCTTCGTGCGCGCGCATGATGACTCGTAACTCATGATGGCTAAGCCAATGAAAACTCTTGAATTGCATTATCCAATGATCCAGTTTTTAATAACAGCTTGTAGTCAGCTTTCCAATTTCCCCAAGGTGGATAGAACAGTCAACACCTCTTTCGCGTCTTCCTTTGTTCTCAAACTTATGAAAGACATTCTCATTGTCCGCTCGTTTCTAAACCCAATTGTTAAGTGAAAACATACTATACAATTAGATATTTTATAAATTGAGTCTTCAAGTCGGACTTTTTTTTTCTGTTAGACTCCAGAAGTTTAAACTGAACATCGCCAACACAGTGACCATGGATACTGGACAACTCCTGGATCTCTTTTCAGTCGACCAAGAAAAGAAGAGAGAAAAACCAAGCGCACAACAGTCGAATGCGACTGGGAAGACTTCGCTCAAAACTATGATTGAAAATTTGGGAGAGCTATGGGACGAGGAACAGTATGAAACAGAATACAATTTAGACAACTTCATTGGTTCGCTGAAGTGAAAAATAGTATGCGTCATTTTGGGATAGATGATTGTCAGGTTGAAAACCTGGCCCTATGTCTGTGTTGGTGGAGACGAAGTCGCTCTGGTCATTGAAGTTTACCTTGGAGCAGCCATAGCGATTCTAAAAGGAGAACTGAGGTTGATCGTAAGGTTAAACACCTTCTTGGGTCGTTGCCCCGCATTTTGCGAAAGGAAGTTGGAAATTCAAACATTGCTTAGGAAGTTTCTTCAACAGTTTATGAAGTGACAAAGAAAAAAAGTAAGAAAACAGACAACCAAAACAAATTTTGATTTGATATTCTCAAATTGAAAATGCCTCAAAACATTGACGATGATGTAAACATTTTGGAGGTAATAGGCTGAATTTCATAAAGTTAGCTCGCCTTTGCATATTAGTAAAATAATTAGAACACATTCAGAGTAATTTGAACGTAGCTAGCGTATATTCGGGCATAGGACGTCGCGCTCTAGGAAAGACACTTTCCTTTGTTTGATTCAGATAAAAATCCCACTTACGAAACGAAACATCTTTGGTGATGGCAATTAGGCATGTGGTGAAATAAAGGTTTTCACTCTGTTATAGTTGTATTGTTTTGTTCCTTTTTTCCGTTATGTTAAAGCTAGGAGAGGAAGAGGACTGTTGGTGGGTTTTATCAATAGACTGGTCATCACAGTTCTCCTGAACTTTAAACAAAATCAGGAACTCTTTTTTTGTGATTAGTACCCGTAGTATCCGTTTGAATCTTCAGTAAGAATAGCTATAATCTAAACATTTGGATGTCAAGTTCAAAAAGTTCTACTCGATTAGGAGTAAAAGACTTAATGAATCCCAGTTAAACGATGACTAGACCTGGGTAGGGTGGGGAACTGTTTAGTCGCAGGGGTGCACACAAGGTCAAAGGGGGATTTTGGAATATGTCCCAATTAACGAACACGCTCAGAAATCGATAATTGACGGTGGTAAGGTTGAAGAAAACTGACACGGCTTTACGCTCTCTCAGTGATGCAAATAGGTTTGAACTCTTTTAAAATTGTAAATAAAGGGTTAAATTACTGTCGTGATCACATAAGTTTGGAAAGAAGACAAAAAGACGGATATCATCAAGGTTATTTCCCTCACCTCATCCCTTCCTCCTCCTCCTCCTCCTCCTCCCCCCCCCCATTTGTCTGGCCCTTAGCCGGTCATGATAGGCAATATTCGCGATCTCACAAAATGCTTACTTGGGCTGTCTAATGACTGAGACATGTGAAACCCTAACTACTCCGGCAACAGCACAAAGGAAAGCGACCGAGCCAGTAAGATATGACACGAAATAAACTCCACTAAGAGGAAAACATAGTTTAGCATGTACATTATTAACAGATAATCACGTTTTTCCTCGTACAATTTGCTTAGGGCTAGGGTTAGGGTTAGGGTTAGGGTTAGGGCTAGTGCTAGGGTTAGGGTTAGGGTTGGGGTTGGGGTTGGGGTTAAGGTTAGTTAAATCAACACCTGTATATTTTTAAAGAACTAAAAAATTTACACGCCTTACGGGCTCGTGCAATTTGGGTAGCCTTTGAACAGTTCACTTGTGCTAATTTTTCCCAAGTTGTACTTAAAATCTTGTGATTTTCTTATGAAAATCTATAATTCATAGAAATATTAAGTAATAAACGCATTTTAAGAACAACAAAAAGATAAAGCGTTTACAGTGTTAAAGCGTTCGCTATTGACATATTCATTGTGTACCCTAAAATATTCTTTAGACGGTCCATAGCGGCATTGGTGATATGATTCTTCTCCATATTAAGTTTTGTAACTTTACACGTTGGTGCCTGTAATGCTTGACATAGACTGGCAACACCGGCATCGGTGATGTGATTATAACCCAGATCAAGTTCGGTGACTTTACATGTTGGTGCCTGTAATGCTTGACATAGACTGGCAACACCGGCATCGGTGATGTGATTATAACCCAGATCAAGTTCGGTGACTTTACATGTTGGTGCCTGTAATGCTTGACATAGACTGGCAACACCGGCATCGGTGATCTGATTAAAAACCAGATCAAGTTTTGTGACTTTACACGTTGGTGCCTGTAATGCTTGACATAGACTGGCAACACCGGCATCGGCGATGTGATTATAATCCAGATCAAGTTCGGTGACTTTACATGTTGGTGCCTGTAATGCTTGACATAGACTGGCAACACCGGCATCGGTGATGTGATGTAAATCCAGATCAAGTTCGGTGACTTTACATGTTGGTGCCTGTAATGCTTGACATAGACTGGCAACACCGGCATCGGTGATCTGATTACCACCCAGAGAAAGTTTGATGACTTTACATGTTGGTGTCTGTAATGCTTGACATAGACTGGCAACACCGGCATCGGTGATCTGTTTACCACCCAGTCGAAGCTCGGTTATTTTACATGTTGGTGTCTGTAATGCTTGACATAGACTGGCAACACCGGCATCGGTGATCAGATTACCACGCAGATCAAGTTCGGTGACTTTACATGTTGGTGTCTGTAATGCTTGACATAGACTGGCAACACCGGCATCGGTGATCTGATTAGCACCCAGATGAAGTTCGGTGAGTTTACATGTTGGTGTCTGTAATGCGTGACATAGACTGGCAACACCGGCATCGGTGATCTGATTACCACTCACATAAAGTTCGGTGACTTTACATGTTGGTGTCTGTAATGCTTGACATAGACTGGCAACACCGGCATCGGTAATCTGATTAAAACCCAGATAAAGTTTGATGACTTTACATGTTGGTGTCTGTAATGCTTGACACAGACTGGCAACACCGGCATCGGTGATCTGATTAGCACCCAGATAAAGTTCGGTGACTTTACATGTTGGTGTCTGTAATGCTTGACACAGACTGGCAACACCGGCATCGGTGATCTGATTACCACCCAGATCAAGTTCGGTGACTTTACATGTTGGTGTCTGTAATGCTTGACATAGACTGGCAACATCGGCATCGGTGACCGTGCAAGAAGCCAGTTTAAGTGTGGTGATTGTATTCCATTCAGATTCCTTCTCTTCACTGAGTGCACCTAAAACATTTAATGCAAAAGACACAGCAGGACAGTCCACATCCTCCATCCTAGAAAGATCAAAAGATCCATTTCTTATGTCGAATACGTCGTGAAATCTCTTAACTATTCCCTTGGCAAACTCAATGTCTTCGTATCTTAGGAGACATTTAGAAATTAAATGCCCCCTTTTGGCTTCTTTTTCCAATAAGTCGTCGCTGTAAAATGTGTGGATAATCATCTTCTCCTCAAATTCGTTGTCTTTTTGCTTGGACAAAATACCAGACATAAATAGAACTACTTCTGTAGACACATGTTTGGGGGGGATAGTTCTTGTCTCTACAAACCAACGAGCCGCCAAGTACTCTTGAAGAGTCAAATGTGTAAAACAAAAATGTTTAGTCGTCTCAGAAAAAGATTTTCTGAAAGGAGGACCGCAATGAAGAAGACCGCTTCCACACAGAATCAGTTCCACCTCATGTAAGTTCAAAGTTTTCAAATCCTCTTTAAAGAAAAGAAACTTTCTCTCCAGAAGAAGTTGAGCTGCCAGCTTTGATAATCCATCCAGAGTCTTATTGAGAGAGGCTCTTTTCTTTGTATCGTGTCTTCGCACGAACATGTTGACCACTTCATCATAAAGGTCACTTGTTTTCACCGGGAGAGGATTATTCTTCTTTGGTTGCTGTAGAGTATATTCGAAGTAGGAGCACATAAGAAAACAAAGTACAGGAATGTGGGCAAAGCTGACAAGATTGACATTCTTTGTAATGTGGTCCATTACAATGTTTTTCATTCGGTCGTTGTTTTTGAAATACTTTCCAATGTATTCTTTTACCTGTGGCTCGGAAAATCCTGTAATTTCAACGTATCTGTCAAAATAGATGTCTTTGGCTTTCATTTCGTCAGATTCGTCGGGTCTTGACGTGATCATGACAACCGAACCTCTCAGTATTTTTCCTTTGATAAGCTTGGCACACAGTGCTGCTACTGGCATCTTCTCTTTGGCGTTAGTTGGGTACTTTTCATCCGAATCACTAGCGATGTACTCTCGTTGTGAACACTCGTCATACCCGTCGATGATAATCAAAACTTCTTCGGAATGATGAAGAATGTACTCAAATATAGAGTCGTCGATATTTGAGTGGTCATCCAGCACTGAAGATCGGTTTAAGATATCCTTTAAGGTAACAGGGTCGTCCCCAAGTTGGTTAAGCTGACGGAACGTGAGCAAGTATGCGAACTTAAAATCAGGTACTTCTGCATTTGCTCTGGATCGAAACAATTTGTTGTCAGCCCAATCTCTGATCAGCTTTTGACAAAACAGTGTTTTACCGATGCCTGCCTTTCCAGTGACAAGAACAGATTTTGGATGTTTCCCATCGGTTGGGATGAAAATTTGTTGAGAGCTTTTAATTTTCTTTCCACTTATTTGACCGTACTGGCGAAGGCGTTTTTTTCGTTTCCCATCGGTTGGGATGATAATTTCTTGAGAGCTGTTTATTTGCTTTCCACTTATTTGACCGTACCGGCGAAGGCGTTCTTTTCTTTTCACATGAGGATCTTCGACTGGTTTTCTTCCATGTTGCATGAGAATGTTGGTGAATATGTCATCTGTTCTTACTTTGGACGTGGTCGGTGAGGCCTGAGCGAGGTACTCGGTGTGGCTTTTTATTGATTCTTTCAACGTATCGGAGTATTCCGCTACAACTGAAAGGAAAACCGTTACCTTTATTTATTTTGATAAACTATTCATTTAGTAACTTTTCCGATGCTCGACGGAGAGTCATTGATCTGCCTGACTTGTAACGCGATTGGTTATCACGCTAGCAGAGTTTTGCTTTAATTAGGCTTTCTGAAAAGTGCAAGTTAATCTTGAATCCGTTCGCAATTAATTGACATCAAATTCTGACCGAGCAATTAGAAAAGCGTAGCAAGAGGTTGATGTAAAGGTTAAATCAATTCATTTTTAATAATATGCATGCAAACATTTCAGAACGCTCATTGGCTGAGAACACGTCAGTTAATCCCAAACAGCGCACAAAGTTGAGATTGAGGGCAAAAAGTTGAAATTGAGCGTAGAAAGATGAAAATAATTTGGTTGCCAGGAGAGTCACCAACCGCAACAAAACAAAATGGCGGAGAGGTTAGGAGAAGGTAACAACCTTTTCAATTTAGAGTTTGATGGAGAATGCCAAAAATAGAAATACAAAACAAAGCACAAACAACTGGCTAAAAGTTTGGAAGTTTTGGGCATTGAAAAATAAGAATTGGAGGCGCTAAACAAACTTCTTGAGGCATTTTACGCAATAGTAGTTCGTAAAAAAGACGGAAGATAACGAGCGTGATATCTTTCGTGTTCTGATTATTGCTGTCGACCGATACCTAATAAACAAAGAGTACAAAAACCCGATTGTTCGTGACGGTGAGTTTAAAAGCTCGAGCCAAATTCTTTGGGAAAACCCCGACTACTGCAGCACAAGGCAAAGGCAAGCGGCCGAACCAGTGAGCCTTGGCACGAAAAAAAAAAAGCAACTAAAGTGGAAGACAGAGTCATATTTTTGCTAGTATATTATTAATAAGTAATCGCATGATTTTCCTCGTGCAATTCGGGATAAATCAGCATGTGTAAATTTTTCAAAAACTACAAATTGCATTCGCCCTACAGGCTCGTGTAATTTGTTCGCATTTCAAAAATCTACTTGTGCTGTTTTACCCAAAATCGTACTCGAAATCGTGTGATTACCAACACTAACGGACTCATTTCAGGAGCAGATCCAGTAATTTGTGGTACGGGAGGAACAAATTTGACTCAGAAAACACCTATTTTTTTTTGTGTGTGTACGCTAGAGAGTTCTCCGAGTTTGAGCTATTTTTAAAGGTAGGCATTTTATAATACTGAAATGAACTGATTGTTAAACTGCTTATTACCCTGTGACGAAAGGCCCTTCAATCTTCCTCTTCAAGTTTCTTTTCTCAGGAAAGATCAAAAGGCCGTTGCACAGATTTTACCGTTAATACACAATACCTTTGTCTCCTGCTCTCTTTTTAGGATTAACGATTGCTTCCATTTCATCCAGTCTCTCTTTGATGCTAACTTCATCCATGATGCACTGTTTAAGAAGCTCTATGTAGTGTTCTTCGAAATCAGGGTCCATGCATTCCTTTTTCAGATCATCAATAGCACTTTGGTAATCAGCTCCTCCCAGTCTCACCAATGCATCTTGGATGTCCTGCCAGTATTGATTGAATGTTGAATCATCTACTGAGGCCTCGCTGGCATGACGATAAACTTTGTTTCTGAAGCAATTGATGCGAACGATCTCTGCCTCAAGGGTTGCATCTGCTGCAGAAGGAAGAGTGTCCCAGCCGGTAGCTGGACGAACAAGACCGCATATACTCCTCAGCAAAACCATCAGTAGAGGGATATCGAAATCCTTTGATGAAACTGTAGATTTGATGGTAGGATATAGTTTTCTCCAAAGAGAAGGACTAAGAATTTGTTTCTTTCGAAGTGAGTTTAAGACTGCATGAACTGGGGGACTTGACAATACTGCGTTCAGGTCTCCTGTTGGACGCCTCTTATCAAAAGTCTTTCTCAAGATATGTGCTCTGACATCCACCAGAAGCCTGCATAACATGGCGTAATTAGTTGTCTCTTTTGATGAACGAAACGATGGAGCCACTGCTGAGGCCATTTTTCCTGAAATACAAAAAGTTCACCCCACGTCAAAAAAACACAAAGAAGCGTATCAAGATAATGACAAAATTACTGAAGAAAAGTTTGGAACCGATATGAAGTTATCCGGCCTAGAATTCATTTCGCACCGGATGCTGAGTGGATAGCGCTATCCATCCTTCCAACACCATTTTTAACATCTGTAAATTATGCGAGTTTTTTTCTTTTTTCCACATTTCCTATAAAACCAAAGTTACGCTACAAATAATGTTCGAAGTCCAGTCAGGACATTCTACCACCCAGTTTACCGAGATTGAAAAGAATTAGAGCGTAAGTGTTTAAACCACAAACAGTCAATTTGTCCAATATCAGTAAATTCGGCATGTACAAAAACACAGACGATAGATGGGGCTGAGAGACTACAGCTTCCTCTCCAGGATTAGTGGTGGAAAATGAAGAGGAAGGAACGGCTACAAACAGAGATATTAAGCATTCATGCCTTGCCATAAATTTGACATTAACAACAGGGATGCTACCACGACATCTTTGACATCTATGTATTTATTGTGTCTGGAGGGCTCATCTCCCACACAGGAACAGGAATCATTAGCCTCATCTAATATGAAAATTTTTTGTCATACTTTGTATCAATTAAATATCATAGCGCTGCAATGATTCGTTCATCACATAAGTAGTCATCACTGCGAGAAGTAGTTTGAACTACCAAAGAGTGCTCTAGCAAGTTCTCTACTTCAGTTTCTTTGTTGACAGAAAATCCCCGCTCTACAGATGCCTGGCCATGTGACAGCAACAGCAAAATTTTCAATAGGTCAAAGAATGCAACATGGTTCTCATCAGTCACGTGGTTGAAAAAAATTCATCAACCTGTAAAAAGGGTAAAGGTAAAGAATCCGATCCTACCAAAGCGTCTTCTTTGGAAAACTTTCACTCACGAGATGAAAATGATAATTTCCATTTGGCCGCCATCTTGTTAGTCGTGTTATTGGAACCCAGTTACTTATCCCGACTGAGCATTAGATGAACATTTCCTATATCTTTTGGTAAGGACACCTAAATATTCTAAACCGACACCCGTCGTCGAGTTTTTTAATTTTTATTACCTAAAACACTGCAATTTTATTACGTTGGACAATGACTTTTTCAAACGTGGTGGCTCCTAAAGGAGCCGTTTTTTTGGTGGCTAGTAGAAGACCTAGGTCCTAGTATTTCGTTCTCAAAATGGCGGTGATTTAGATTTCTCTTCGAGGGGGGCATTGGGGCCTATTAGAAACCGCAAAACCGTAGAAAAAATCATCCACAACCGAAAAACCGAAAAAAAATTCGATCAAAACCGAAAACCGCATGCAAAACTGTCAAAACCGATACATTTTCACATCCCAGTTATTAAAACCCTGATCGATCCGATACAGTGGTGACAAGTGTAAAGTACATTAATTTCATTACAGGATTTATGAATGCCATGGACTTCGCGTCGGTAGGATTACCTTTACCCAATGAGCACCATATTCAAATTACGTTAACTTAAAAAAAAAGTTCAAACTGAGTATTCTGTTCACCTTTCTTTCCCGAAGGCTCTTCTAATTTTTTTTCATGACCAGTGATGGGTACTATAGTGAGGGGTGAAGTAACTATGGGTAAAAGAGGCAGAGAGAGATTAGCATTCACAGCCTCTCTTCAGATGTTTTGTTGCGATAAGAGGAAATGTATACAATTATATTAAATAATTGATGCCACGTTATTGTATGAGATAATTCTTCGAACATTTATCACATAATTGTCACTGTTCACAACAACTTTCCAATAACTTAATACATTTATAATTTAAAGCAACTGTTATATATTTTACCACACGCTGACTCATTATCATCTTTAGCTAAAGTAGAGAATGAGACAATGCCAAATTTGGATTAATCTTTAGCTGACTCTCACCCTGTGGACACCTCGCTATTACAGACACCTTCCCACAGTGGACAAGAGCAAACCCCTGGGGAAACACGTAAATAAATGATTGAAAAAAAACTCCCTTTGAAACAGTCCCTTGCTATTGCTATAAAGTTTTACTTATTTTATCTCTCGCTATAGCAGACACTTAAATACTTCATCCAAAATCCTGACTCACATAATATAAAGCAACTTTATGATAAAGGAAAACAAAGAAACCATTCTTCAGTTGGGTGCAAACATTTGAATTTCTATCGTACCCTTTTATTACGGACTCTCGCTATTGCAGACACTATATCACCCCCCACCCCCCATTATTAGCATTTCTACTAATAAATAGTTAGAAACAAACAATTACCAACTTGTAGTTAAAGATAGATTTAAAAAAGGCGCTCAAAACATCTATTTGATATTCACATATATATCTCATGTATATTGTCTTAACCCTTTACATCCTAACATCAGTCTGCATATTCTCCACACTGCTCCTTATACATTTGCTAGTGTGCTGAAAAGGAGAATTTGTTTGCCAATCAAAAGTTTCCTTCTCTGTTGACCATGTCCTTTATTCTCATCACCATCATGAGCAATTCAGGAGTGATATTGTAGGGAGAAATTAGATGCTGGTCACTCTCAGGGTTTAAAGGGTTTATTCCACAAACCAACTCAAATTCCTTTCACATAAGTAGAGAATCAGGCACAATCATATCTGGAATAATTTTCATTATTTTACATTATTTACAGCAATAAATGTATTCATGGGGTTACTTTTCTTTGAGAAATAATAATTAACACAGCAAACCAACATGTGACCATATGTATATAAGTGCATGAAATTTATCCAAAATACATCACCAATGTCAGTTTTTCAATACATAATTTATGATTAAGGTTGGGAAAAACCTTCATTATACTATTATTATACTATTATTATGATTATGATTATGATTATGATTATGATTATAATTATTATTATCATTTTATTATTATGAAAACTGTTTTACCATCTACTGCCACTGATCTAAACATAAATAAATAAATGGGTTTAAATTCCTCTCAAATGAATCTTTTTAATGAAGAACTGAAAGTATTTCAAATAATTGTCAGTTAGTTTTACCTTATAGACCCTAGCAACCTTAAATGTTTAATCCCAAAGGCAAAATTCTTTACACTTGACATCATAGCTGAACACACTGAACATATTCACTTAAGAAATTAATTCAAACTGAGCTTCCTCTTCACCTTTCCTTGGCTTCAAGGTCTCTTTTCACTCACCTTTCTTTTTCTGAAGTTTCACAGTGCTCTGCCTTACTTCCAGTTTTCTTTTGCGACCAGAAGTGGACAGTAAGGTGGCGGGTGAAGTACCTGAGAGGAAAAGTACAAAGAGCAATTCATGGTGTTACTTTTAATAGCAACATGAAAACAGGTCAAATCAACATGCGATTAACTGACATACCGTGTCACTATGTCACTATTAGTTGTTTGAGTCATAATTTAAGATCAACATTGAAAACACCCAGTTTATCATTATATAGTTTCACCAACCCCAGCCTCTACCATCTTAATATATTTCCTTGTAGCAAAACACAGAGTGAGGGAAAACTAAATTTGGTATAATTGCCTTAAAATGAGAACTAAATGTATTTAAGAGTATTCTTAGATCCGTTTTACCATGAAAGTTAATTTAACAGCATCATTTATTCACCTTTCATTCTTTGGAGTTTCATATGTGGCTCTTCTAGTTCTTCTTTGGGATCAAAGGTGGAAGATCCAGGAAGAGGCAACATGCCTAAAAATAAAGTTATACAGAGAGATATTAGCATTTCTACTGATAAATAGTTAGAAACAAACATACCAACTTGTAGTTAAAGATAGATTTAAAAAAGGTGCTCAAAACATCTATTTGATATTCACGTATATATCTCATGTATATTGTTTTAACCCTTTACATCCTAACATCAGTCTGCATATTCTCCACACTGCTCCTTATACATTTCCTAGTGTGCTGAAAAGGAGAATTTGTTTGCTAATCAAAAGTTTCTTTCTCTGTTGACCATGTCCTTTATTCTCATCACCTTAATGTGTGATTCAGGAGTCATATTGTAGGGAGAAATTAGATGCTGGTCACTCTTAGGGTTGAAAGGGTTAAAGAGAATCAGGCACAATCATATCTGGAATAATTTTCATTATTTTACATTATTTACAGCAATACATGTATTCACGGTGTTACTTTTCTTTGAGAAATAATAATTAACACAACAAACAAACATGCGACCATCTGTATATAAGTGCATGAAATCTATCCAAAATACATCACCAATGTCAGTTTTTCAATACACAATTTACAATTAAGGTTTGAAAAAACCTTCATTATACTATTATTATACTATTATTATAATTATGATTATAATTGTTGCGTGATGAGACCAAATGACAGTTGCAAAAGAGACCATGCTTACTGCTGTTCCTCTAACAGAAAAAAAATTAAACTTATTCATCAAGTTAGTGACTCCAAAAATATAATTTCACCAAATTTTAAGGCAAAAAGCAAACAGAAACTCTGTTGTATCTCCAATAAAACTTAACCAAAGATATATTGCAATCTCAAATAAGTGAAGATACAACAACCAAGAGAAAAGGATAATATTTCAAAGAGGGCTCCTTGATTGGTTGTTGTGTGAAATATGTGATAAAATGCAGGTTGTTTACAAGGAATTGACATGCGACATGGGAGAATTGCATGGAAAGTTCACTATCAGATGCATTTAGTTCCATGTGAATTTTTTTCAGTGGGGTTGGACAATGCAGGTGGAATATGCGATGAAATGAAGTTAAAATTGTATTTCAAACCAACTTGAACCATTAATATCACATTAAACTTCAAACACATTGGATGACAATCTGCTTGCAGATCCTCATTTTCAGAGGGCTTCTACACCAGTGTTCCTTCATAGCAAATTGCACAGCAATCTTCCAATTGCATAGTACCCATACAGTACACAAATTTTTATTACTGTTAACCCTCTAACTCCCATGAGTGACCAAGACAGAATTTCTCCTTACAATATCAATACAATATCAACCAGATAAGTGATTAAAATAAAGGAAATATCAATTAGGGGATAATTAGTTGATCCAATATTAAATTATCTGAACTAACTTTATGAGAATTGTATGGTTGACAGTAAGGAGAATTACAAATTTGATCTGTGAGTTAAAGGGTTAGGGGCAATTCCATGTTACAGACTTTACATTCAGAGACCAATTTTTTGGAAACTAATTTCCTTAACAAACTTATTTTGCACAGTTTTGAATTAATAATTTTCTCAAACACTCCTCACAGGGTAATTGACTATCAGCAGAGGAAAAATTTTCCTTTCTTTAACAGAGGCTGCCAATATTTTTGTGTGAAACTCTGTTATGGACATTACAAAAAAAATCAAACTACAATTTAATGTGTTCACTTGACAGCTATTTTCCTGTGAATTTACTATTCAGACAAAAATCATTCAATAATAATAAGAACAAAGCTTCTTCATAGCTCTTTAAAATCTAGTTATATTGATTCCCTTATTCTGTAGTTATATTTTCAGCCTGTGGTAAAACATTACACAATTTTTGTTATGGACATTACACTGGGAACTTTTTTTACACTGGTAAGAATAAGGGAATGTTTTTGTTTTTTTATGAACTTTTGATAATCGATTTTGTCAGAACTGATAAATGTATTCTTAATCAGGCTCAATTACAAGTTAATTCTCTTTTCTGGTTGTGCTGATAACCATAACATTAACTAATACTACAGTTTGTGTGTCCATGTGACTGTGGTCTTTGGAGTATCCCATATAGAGCATGCTCCTTACAATTCAGTTTTATTGAGCTAGCTCTAAATGGTGTTTCTGTTGTCTTTTGGTTCTTGCTTTCTGAGATACAGTGCAGATTAGATTTCTAGCATGAGACCAAGTTTTACATTGGAAGAGTCCTTAGTGTTACTGATAATGAGGTTGAAATATTGATATTGTCCAAAAGAGAAGTCTCCTGTGGCTCCATAGACCTAAAAGGCACTGGACCTTTCAATGTTCCAAGTCTCATAAATTGAGAGGATGTTTAAATATTTTCAAAAAGAAAAAGTTTTCAAATAACTAGTCAAACTAACTGCAGATTGCAATAGTTAAACATTGCTTTAATTTTTGAACCAATGGATTGTACTAAACTCCTTGTCAGAGTACTATTCTTAATAAGCCACTTGACACTACTTTGGAAAGTTAGACTGCACTGAACTGCATGAATTGACAATTTTCTCTGTAGTTATTTAAGGACAGTCATTATCAGTGCAATGGCCTTTGAAAGTTGAAGTACTGCAGCTTGTTTTAAGCTACATCTCTGAAACATTTTTTAATTTGTTACCTTCAGATATTTTAAAAGAAGGTACTGACTATTAACATGATATGTCTTTTAGTAAACTTGTTTCGCAGACTTAAACTTTTTGAAAATTTATACTCGTCATGTCACCATGGTGTTGCAACTGTTAATGTACAGTTGTTGTTATGGTTACAGTTATTAGTGTTTAGTTAAAAAGGTACTGTAAACTTGGATGTGATAAATTTGAACAAACTGGTCTTCATGAAACATTTATTTCTTCCAAAAGAATTATTAAAATAAAAGTCATTCAGTCATAATGTCCATAATGTCATTTCCGTAACATTGTGTCCATAATGTAATGTCCATAACATAATGTCTGCAACATAAAGTAGCCTTTATTTTTTCTGATGTTTTTTTTTTCCCAGGACTTTGATAATTTACAGCACTCAAGTTTGGGCCCCTAAACACAAAAAAAGGAGCCAAGCTTACAAAAAGACTGATATTTGTTGTCTGAGAAAACAAAATAAATTGGCTTTTTGGTGTGGCCATTACATAATGTCTGTAATATAATTATTACTTGCTCTCATTTACAAAGTACATCCATTTTGGAAAAAATCTTATCAGCAAGTTCACCTTTGTGTAGAGTTCAAATAGTTTTGTTCCTCTGATGAGATTTTGGAATAAACATGTCTCACTAAAATCATTTTAAATCTTACAGAATGCCACCTATTTTCACACACTTTTCATTAGACAAAAATAAACAGCCTCTCTTTGCCATTTCCCGTAAAATCAACTTTCAGATTACTATTTTTTAGACAATTTAGGGTCTCCTCACTCTAAAAATCCATCATTGGGTTAGATATAAAATAATTATTTTAAATTTCACGATTCAAGTGGTTCTAAAATGGAATGGCCCTTAACAAGAATGGCCATTACCATCAACTTATAGCCTTGGATTACCAGTTTTCCTGCATGTAAACTTGTAACATTCCACAAGACTACTGCCCTACTGCATTTAGAAACAAATGCTAACCTGTACATTGAATATTTAACAAGAACATGTGAGCTTTGTCATTATTTCAAATTGGATTAAAACTTCTGCATTCCTGATGCAAGCTGAGAAAACTTACCAAATGCAAGATGGAACATCTTTTTAACAAGGACATCACAAGACTCCTCCCAGCTGAACTGCTGCAAATAGTGTTCACGAAGAATCCTAGCCTCTGCAAGTCGTACATTCCTTTTTTTGTCACATTCAGCTTTTAATGCTCTGGCCCAGTCTGCAGGATCCTCTGAATCCACTATACGGTATGACCCATTAGGCACCTCCCTTAAGGCTTCTGCAATTCCCGAGTTACCACTGACAAGTACTGGAAGACCAGTGGATATGGCTTTAAGAGCGCTCAACCCGAATCCCTCAGTTTTTGAGGGCAATATAGCAATATCCACCATAGAGAATAAGTTGGCTGACGTTTTCCTGTTTTCATCAAAGCTGCAGATAATTAGCTGATCAGGATCAATACCACACTGAAGTAACTTGCGTTTTAATTCATCTTCCTTTCCTCTCTGTTTGGAGGCAAACTTGAGTTGGTAAGGTTCACCCTTTAGGTTAGCAATAGCTTTCGCTGCAATGCCATATCCTTTGACATCAAAATCTTCACTATCACCACTCTCAGTTACCAAGACACAAAATTTTCTTCCTTCATCGCTAGCTTGCTGCACATCTAAATATTCAGTGAAAATACCTGGTGTCAGGTTAAAAACATCTTGTTTTCTGAGTTGGTGCTTATATGCATCAGTTAGCTTGGGGCCAATTGTTACAACTTGATCAGCCATTTCACATAGTTCTATTTCTGTCTTCTGCATTTGTTGACCTTCAGAAATGCTTTTGTACATGCCAATTTCTTCAGGGGCAGTATGGACAACTTGAATCCATTTGCAATGACTGTAGATTGGATTTTTCTTTATATGTGGAATTAGCCGACCAAGAGCTACTCCATGCGCTATAACAGAATCCATAGCATGGCCTTCAGGTACAGAGGCTAGCCAATCAACTGGTTCAAAACCAGGCAGTTTAACAGCTTCAATGAGTTTAACATTGTAACTATCAGCATCTCTCTTGTCCTCTTCACTACACTGAGGTAAGAAGACACTGACTTCCACATTGGGATGTTTAGCCATCTGTATTGCTAGCTCTCTGTTGATGGTTGTCAAGTCTCCATTGCTTGATGTTTTCCATTCAGCACTCAAAAGGGTTACTCTCAGTTTTCTTTCCCCAGTGTTGTTCTGTAAACACAAGATTCTTGTGATTTAGTAAATTCAATTAAAATTATAGAAAAATAAGAACTCATTTTATAAATTATTTTACTCTCTTATAAATTTATTTCCATATCAATCTCCTACTTGGTAAATACCAGTATTATATGATCATAAAGTTTTGTATCTGCAGGCATGTAATTTGTTCCTGAAGTGAGAGAGTTGGTAGGGAAGCACTGATAAAAGTGAAGTTTCCTTCAAATGAAATAACACCAAAGTACAAGTAAAAAAAACAACTTGGTCACAGCTGTGATTTTCAAAAACAGTTGTTTGATATGCTACCTTTAATGGTCTCGACATCACAGGAACCTTAAATGTTGAACAGGAAGTTGCTAAAATAAAAATGAAAAAAACAGGAATTACTTTCAGTACTTATTAACTTAAAAATGCCTTAAATTACTAACTGTCAAATATGGTATTGAATGACAACTTGAAATTACTGTTGCTGGCATATCATGGTACAGCTGAGTAATCATATTGGCCTTTTGATCAAGTGAAATTTAATTGACGAAATATATCTATGAAAAAAATTATTCCTTCTAATTAGCAAAGAGAACTGAACTTTTCAGTTAACAATGCAGAGGAGATATACGTGTATTTCAGTGCTAAAAAGAGGTTATTATAAAAGCGCTTAAAATTTGACGAATTGTTTTGCGACTACAAGCAGGTTTTGAACAAATAATTGTGCATGCGATTCCTGTAAAAGCTATCATATGGTTTTGTCATTATTACTATTTATTAATATGTAATCACCAGATTTTTGTCATGAAATCTGGAAGAAATTGGCTCTCCTAAATTTGGTCGGACTACAAAGTGCATCTGCCTTACTACAACATTTTTTGCGAAGGACATCTGTGAAGACCCAAGCAAACCCTTACAGATCAAAGCGATGTTACACGATTTGTATTTATGATTCAGTCTACTGTTAATTCGTCTTAGAAAAGGCGTTTGAAAATTGAGGCGATGAGCTACTCTCAGGTATTTACCAAAATGGTTCATTTCAGTAAGAATTCTAGGCATCATGCATCAGAAGTTAACACGAATTGGCTTACCAAGACTTCGTTGGTATGTTACTGTAAGTGAAGGTCCTGTATCTGTTCCCTTCAGTGTCGCTCTGGAGCTACAGTTCGCTGATGATCTAAAATCACTTCATAGGAGCTGAAACTATTACTTATATAAAAATAACCTGGTGAAACACCTCGCCAAACATTAGTATTAGTGGTATTTCACGTCGATTTCCGCATTCGTCCATCACTTTCGGTTTGATAAATTATTTCAATTGGCTCATTTACTATCATGTGACAGCATTGGAAGGAAGAACCCCTTATCAGGTTATAAGATATGACTATTACACCACATATCTGGTTTTGTAGCCCGAAGCCAAGGTGCGTTGCAGCTGGTTGAATGCAGGCTCGTCTGTCAGAGCGGGAACGAAAATCTTTAGGGAGGAAATCTGTGAATGGATGTTAGTGTGTCCAACGAAGAAAAATTCTTGTGACCGGAGGAAGAGGATATTTTGGCCACAAGCTGGGGAATGAGCTGAAGAATATGGGAGCAGTGGTTGTATTGTTTGACATCTTCGTCTTATAACAGAATAACAGCGATGGTAAAACAAGCAAAAACGGCAGAAATCGCTAGAAACTACGACGGACACACAAGATGTGAGTATTGTTTTTGTCATTGTTTTCTCTATTCAAGAACTGAATGCATAATGTAGAATGGGGCTGTGCGGAAATTTTACCAACTTCTATTGACTTTACGTGTAGAATGTTCATATTTCAAAATACTTATGTCATTACCGTATTTCGCTCCCCAAATATTCCCCATAACGTATTTAAATTCTCGACGGTTCCTCCATAACTTAACACCGAGTCACGCAACGCGTGACGCTTTTTCTCGAGACGTGAGCTTGGTCCGCCGGTGGTTCAATAACCTTTTACTTTTGAACTTCAGTAAAAGTCATTCTGATCTAAAAATTGTTATTTTCAGAGAAGCTTCGGCTACGCCTCTGCCCTGTTTTGTTCTCACATGTTGTGACGTCATCTTTGATCTAATACTGAAAAGAGGAATCTATTTTTTATAATGAAAATGGCCCTAGATCAATGAGCGCGCGAGAATTTCCACAGTTTTTGTAGAACACGCTATTGAATAGAATATTACACGGTCATCGTCCATTTATTGTAAATTAATCAGAGCCCAACTGTTCAAAGAACGGATGACGCCATCTACTGCCCCCTGCTGCCCCTACCACTGCTACTGCTACTGCTACTACTACTATTATGAATATGAGAACGATCTTCCCAGTAATGAATACTACTTGAGCAGTAGTGAAAATAAGGCCTAAAAAAAAATTCAGGCCTGTACGGGATTTGAACCGGTATCGTAGAGGTCATGGGTTCAAATCCCGTACAGGCCTAAAAAAATTTAGGCCTGTACGGGAAGATCGCTTTCATATTCACGTCTCGCAGTTCAAATATATGACTTTCATATATTCACTGACGTTTATTCACTACTTCGTGGGTTTATTTCGAACCAACATAATTACCAGTTCCCAGTTAGCTTGTTAGCTCAGTTGGTAGAGCATTGCACCGTTATCGCAGAGGTCATGGGTTCAAATCCCGTACAGGCCTGAATTTTTTTCAGACCTTGTTTATTTCACTACTGCTCAAGTAGTGTTCATTACTGCGAAGATCGCTTTCATATTCACGTCTTTATCTGCAGTTCAAATATATGACTTTCATATATTCACTAAAGTTTATTCACCACTTCACGGGTTTATTTCGAACCAACATAATGACCAGTTCCCAGTTGGCTTGTTAGCTCAATTGGTAGAGCGCTACACCGGTATCGCAGAGGTCATGGGTTCAAATCACGTACAGGCCTGAATTTTTTTCAGACCTTGTTTATTTCACCACTGCTCAAGTAGTGTTCATTACTGCGAAGATCGCTTTCATATTCACGTCTTTATCTGCAGTTCAAACATATGACTTTCATATATTCAAAGTCGTCTAATACTATTACTACGACTACCACTACTACTAATAATGATAATAATAATAGTAATAATAAGAATTATAATAATAAACATATGTGTTTTCCCAATCCTTCGTATTTTCAACCCCATCCAATCCTTTAGTTGATGAATATTAACTTGCTTCATGATTTGAACACATTTGAACACTTTGGACAAAATAATTTAATGAGTTATAGGGAAGAAACTATAACCATGACATCATTCATAATGTTTCAGAGCTGATGTTCTGTCACCCTTCTTAACAGCCTGAAATCCTTTCAATGAGCGAATTTAAGGAATTCGTGTTTATGAAACATTCCGCGCTACAACGATCATTTACGACTTCCGCGATGGTGAATCGGTTGTTATTAGAGAACTGTAGTGAAGTACACAGGTCGTAAATGTATAAACCTTCTAACACGCCATTTCTTGGATTTAAGGAATTTTTCGTGAGTCCCAAAAAATTCTTGACGAAACAGTTCGTATGGCCTTTCGTAAAGACAACTAACCACCTACTCCTATTCCTGATTTTACAAGGAGTGATACTTATGTAAATTAACCACACAGAAGTTTAGCAAATAATTGATGATGGTCAACTGAGAGTCGAAAGACATCCGAGATTACTTTTGGTTTTGCTTTACTTCGCTCTGTGATTGGTCAAGATCACTCGCGCCATCATCTCAACCAATCAGATGCAAAACTAACACCAATCTCAACTTGGTGACTGTTTTTGCCTCGAGCACTCATTGGCTCCTCTTTGCGATAGTTCCTTTGATTCTGATTGGTAGTTCTTCTTACTTTGTTTTTGGATTTACGACACTCAGTTGAAAAGCCCTCAAATCAATTCGGGGATTACTATTCAGACATTAAGACAAATTTCGACGAATCGGAATATCGGCCCCTTTCAGCAGTTACGACGGAATCGCAAACAAGCTTTTTTCTTTATTGTCATTGATGTCGACACTGGTCATAATGGGTGGCTTTGACTCCAATTCTTTGAATTTGAATTTTTTTTCCATCTAGCTTGCAAAAGTCATTAAGCAGCTAAGAGCCAGTCGTCGACTTATACTCTCGGGTACACCAATCTGGTGTGAGTTGAGGGACTTTTATTAAACGAATGAAGCTATGCGATTTAAATATGGGAAGATGACGAGTCAATGCTCCAACAGCTATTCCACATGTAGATCCTAAAATCTTCTTCGTTTACGTACAAAGGGGAGGATAAAATATTTTCCTCTGCCTTGTATAATGTGAGGAAATGTCAACAGCAGCTTCTGTCGAACAGCGAAATGTTGTTCATGTTTATGAAATATTCTACGTCACAAGATTAGAGATTGAGACAATTGAGACGTTGCTCGTTCTAATGTGTCGTTCATTTTTGTTTCATTCTCACCATACTCCTTTGTTATGAGTTATCTTTCCGTACGCTAGCGTAATTTTGTAGTTTTTTGTATTGCTTTACTTTGTTCAGTCTTGTAAAGATTTGATACGGTGCTTTACGTTCATGACATGCTCATGTTTTATTTTCTCCACAACAAATCATAGCCAGGTTTCTTTAATGCATCCTGAATGGGCCAACTAGTAACGATTTCCTGCTTTCAACACTTTTTTGGGATAATAAATGCGACGTATGACAGCTCTGCTGTTACTGAGAGACTATTTTTTATCCTCAGATATTTAACAACGATCCATCAATCGACATTCTTTTGTTGACGACACATATTGGAGGACCAGGGTTGAACCTGACTGGTGCCGACACGGTCATCTTTGTGGAGCACGACTGGAACCCAATGAAGGACCTACAAGTACGTAACCACCAACCCTTTCAACCTTTCCTCTCTCCCCTCGTTTATTCCAATTTTTACCAACTTTGCTCAAGCGAGGTTAATCGTAAGGTTGAACATCCCCTTGGGTCGTTGCCCCACAAAGAAAACAAATAAGC